ATTGACCTCATCACGTAACTCCCTTGACTCATCCCGTTGAGGTGGAGGTGGAGAACAGGGAGATAGGAGTCGTGGCATCTTTGCCGGTCGCCTATCATGAGGTGATGGTGGAGAAGAGGCTCGATGATGTGACGGGATAGGTGATGGCTCTCGTTCTAGAGGTGTATAGTCGGGTCGATCGGGTGATGGCTCTAGGTGAGGTGATGGCTCTCGAATTGGAGGAAGTGGATGCTGCTCATCATCCGTGCCATCAAAAAAACTCTGACTAGCTTGCCACCAATCAGTGGCAAGCTCTTCCTCCATGGGTGTCAGTCTTTGTAATGGAATGTTGGCCTCCTAAAATATAAAAACTCAAACAAAGTTAAACGTCTACTATTAATAACTTGTTTATATATTATATGAAAGTATTTGTGTTAACTTACATTATTTATTGTCGCATATGATATTAAGTCTTCCCAATCCAACAGAGTTTTCCTCTTCCAGGAAATAGCCCTGGGAATATCATTTGACGTTTTATTGCATATGTACGCATGCTGGGGAAAGCCTCGAATATCCAAATCTACAAACAATATAATAACAAAATTAGTAATTGTTAAATAATTAATTATAATTTTAGAAACATTATATAGAAATTCTTACCTTAAAGGCCCAAACAAAGCCTGACAAAGTGTATTTGGACCCATCGCCCCGCAAACTTTTGCGGTCATCAAAGGCAGACGACAACTTAGTCCAGGTAGCTTTCCATATATACGAACCCCACGGAAACAGATTCCATGCATTCAGGTCCTCTACCAATATTATTAGCTCCCGATGAATAGGTTGTCTGGCCTCTCTGCCTAAAAAGCCGGCATACACAAGTAGTAGAAGGCATACTCGGAAAACATCGACGTCATCCATCCGAGTGAAACCAGCTTTCTTATTAAACAATTTCTTCAGGTCGTCGACATGTAGGTTCGGCTTCTCCATTGACTCATCCAGAAAAACCCGGGATAACCATGATGGGCGGGCGATATGACGAGTGTACCGGCCTACATCATCGTGTCCGAATCGTAGACCAGTGATTAAGCAGAACTCCTTCCGCCCAAAACAAGTATACGCTGGTGGAAAATGAAACCATATCTCTTCCTCACCACGTTGTATACTGTCGGGTAGATTTGATGTCATGGTCTGAAGCCACAAATGGGTCAAATTAGCATCTCCACCCGGATGCTGTACTCTCAACCATGGCCCGAAGCAGGTTTCCTCAAACAATTGTCTTTGAGCAGGTGAAAGCTTCGAAGCAATTGTAGTGGCCAGGCTGACTTTATTTCTCAAGTTCAATTGAGCCGAAAAAAATTTATACAAAAACAATAAACATACCAAGTTAGATATACCAAAAACTACACTGTGAAGATATACCAAAAACAATAAACATAAAAAGTAGTAGTTTATTCTTGAAACTAAAATTTGCAACACTGTTTTGTCTTTTGGTTGAAATGAAAATCGCAACGAGAGAATCGCAACGCGAAATGAAAATCGCAACGAGAGAATCGCAACGCGAAATGAAAATCGCAACGCGAAATGAAAATCGCAATGCGATTTTGGTTTCGCGTTGCGATTCTCTCGTTGCGATTTTCATTTCGCGTTGCGATTCTCTCGTTGCGATTTTCATTTCTCTCGTTGCGACTCTTCTGCAAATTGAAACTTGAATGGATTGCATTACTTCAACCAAAAGACAGAACAAAGACAAAGACAAATACTAACTTGAAAATCGCAACGAGAGAATAGCAACGCGAAATGAAAATCGCAACGACAGAATCGTAACGCGAAATGAAATCTAAGTGAAATGGTTAATCTATTATTGAAATGACCAGTAAACTTATCATCAGTTTCAATATGAAAAACCTACAATAATGCAAACATTTCAAAATAAAAATAATTAAAAAAACTAACCCTCGGAGGTTGATTTTCCATTTCTGAATATTGTGAGGGATTTCTGACCGTGAATGGTTGTGAGGGATTTCGCCGGAGATGGGGACGGAAATCTTCGGAGATGGGGACGGATTTCTTCGCCGTAGAGAGTGAGAGATGGAGATGGGACTGAGTTGTGATTTTAGGTTTTAGGTTATGAGTTGCGATTACGGGATTTTGTCTTAATATTCGTTTTTGTAATTTGAAAATAAAATACGCGTAGCGATTATAATGGCGCTTTAAATATCGCGTTGCGATTTACGGATACGCGTTGCGATTTTTATGTATTATCGTTGCGATTTACGGATACGCGTTGCGATATACGGATACACGTTGCGATTTACGGATACGCGTTGCGATTTATGTGTTCGCGTTGCAATTTTCATATTCGCGTTGCGATTTTGGAAAATCGCAATGCGAATTTGTACTATCGCATTGCGATTTTCAAGAATCGCGTTGCGATTTTGGAAACTGATTTGCGATTCTGGGGATCGCGTTGCGATTTTTATTTCGCGTTGCGATTTTGTTGGTCATTTTGGCAAATCCAAAAAAAGTTGGTTAAAATCGTATATTATAACTTTTTTTGGTCACTGAGGCGATTTTCTCTAAAATGAATCCACAGAAAGAAAATATAAGAGAAAATAATCTGACTAGCCGGATTCGAACCAGTGATTTATGCATATCATCTTTAAAGCAAACTCACAACAGTACTCCGCTCTACCAACTGAGTTAAGGTCGGTCGTCAGAACATATTTACATATTTTAAATAATTATTTTAATACTACATTCCTTATCCAAATAACTCGGGTAACAATAATTTTGACATAATACTAAAATTATCCCAAACATTTATAAAAATAGTTATTTTGGTCATTATTCAATTTTAGAACATTTTGACTCTAATATTTTATATTAAGACAAAAAGACTCCTAATGTTTAATCGTAAAGTCATTTTGTTCATTATTATTTTTTCTAAAATATTTTGGCCCTCAATGTTTCTTTTCAAGATAAAAAGCTCATATTTTTATAGTATTAACTATTTGTTAACTAAGATTTCCATTTATAAATGGGTATTTTTGTCTCATAATAAAACGTTAAGGACAAATAACTACAAAAAAAAAAAAAGTTAAAGTGATCATTTAATCAAACAATAGAGACATTTTTCGACGTTATGCGTTTTTTATAAGTAACTTTGAAATTTTTGTATAATTAAATATTACCTTTTAAATAGTTTATCTCTATACTTAAAATTTTAATATACAATTTCTAAATTGTAACACATAACACTCCTTTAATTAAATGACATTAATTTAGAACATATTGTTTCTTTAACTAAATGGTATAATTAATTAGTTGTGATTTTATATTTTTCTATTCTTGTGAGAATTGAGAAAAGAGGTGGGATGTAAGATTTCTAATTTTTTCATGAAAGAAACATTATATATTCAATATTTAAGTTAATTATTAAACTGATTGAATATATGATTAAAATCATATGATAATTTAAATTTTTTGTTGATATGTTCTAAAGTACGAAAATCAATTTAAAGATTTAATCATAAATTTAGGAACGTTTGATGCAACATATAAAAATTAGTTGATCCTATTTTTAGGCCTGTAAATGAACTGAACGTTCAGCGAACCGTTCGTGAACCGTGCGGCGGGAAGTTCGTTTATGTGCGTTCATTTATTAAATGAACGAACATGAACAATATTTTTTTGTTCGTTTAATTAAATGAACGAACATGAACATAGGTCTCGTTCGTTCATTTACGTTCGTGAACGTTCGATTATGTTCGTTCGGTTATGTTTGTTTATGTTCGTTCGATTATGTTCGTTTATGTTCATTCATTTATGTTTAACTCAATCTTCTTAAATCAATTTTGGTGACCAATTTGTAAGTATCTTAAAAATATTAATTAATCTGATATTCTGATGACCAACTCCATAATTAACCCAATTTTATTTGGAGATTAAATCCAATATGTTAACATGTGAGGCACATCGCACCTATATTCATTTCCCCTTTTTTCCCCAAACCCTAGTGTTCACTAGAGAGTGGAGACGATCGCTGAAAGCTTCAAAACAAGTTATATTATAGTGCAATATGAAGTTTTACAGGTCTGTTTTCATCTCTTTCTCTGTTTTATTTTGGCTTAATAGTTGATATGTAAAGTTATTGTAGGTATCTTCACATCTAAAACTCAAGAAAACATCATACTTCTTTCTAGAAATAGCTGGGAAGATAAAGGTAACAATCAGAAGTATATGAGCATCAATAAAGAGAAAAATATATAGAATTTGCCAGAAAACAAAACAAATGTTTCTATGCAATTTCTGAAAAGAGTGTAATAGCGAAAAATGATTGTTCATATGTAATCATGGACCACTAAGATAAATGTTATAGTGTTAAATTAAAGTTGTGTGAATAATTTATATCTTTAAAAGATCGATCAAAATATTTGATATCTTCAAACATTTTATCACTGCTAATAAACTCTTACGCTATTTATCACTGTAGATTTGGTTATTTGCATTATCGACTATTTTTCATTAAAGAACAATGGAAGGTAGGGTCTCCAACGTTTATGTTCGTTTATGTTCGTGTTCATTTATATTCGTGTTCGTTTATGTTCGTGTTCGTTTATGTTCGTGTTCGTTTATGTTCGTTTATTTATTAAATGAACAAACATGAACATATTATATTCCTTAGTAAACGAACATGAACAAAAAAATTTTTGTTCGTTTATGTTCGTGTTCGTTTATGTTCGTCTATTTATTAAATGAACGAACATGAACATACCTCCGTTCGTGTGCGTTCGGTTCGTTTACAGGCCTACCTATTCTGATATGCTTGTATATATACTATGATGGATAAATATGTAATTTAATTTGTTCATAATAAAACACGTGATAATCTTGCAGACAAGTCTATCCATTATAAAATTCCACGCGTCAAAATTCCAAATCACATCCACGTCAGCCTAGACAAAGACATTCATACACACAAGTGTAATGAAACGAAACAAAACAAAACTAAAGCTAAGAACGATGACGACAATAAAACTTGCAGAAAACACACACAGTGATTTCCTTCCTTTCTTACTAAAAGAAAAATCCAATATCTTTTTGAATCTCTTCCCATAAACCATCTCCAGAATCCCACTTTATCATCCTCAGAAGGTATTTCCTTTTTCTTTTTCTACTTTCTCTTCTATTGGGGTTTCCCCATTCTTTTTTTTTACTTTTTCATGGCCAAATGCATTGTTGGTTCTTTAAAGTAAGTGTTTTAGTTTTTATTTTTATGAATCTTTTGTCTAGATGGGTTGTTTGATATGTTCACATTATTGTTCTTGTATAATAGGTCTTATCATTGTTGCTGATTCATTGATTCTTAAGTGGAAAATCAATGAATTTGGAATGTATTTTTTTAATTATGTATTTATATTCAAGATTATTTTAAAAAGGTACTGTTTGAAATTGTAAATTTCTTCAACAAGAGAAGATCATTTAGGTTTTTGCTTTCATTAGATTTTCTGAACGAGGACAAATTCATGAGAATTTTTTGAGGAATCCACTGGTGTTTTGGTGTGTTCTTTGGACCAAGAACTTTACGTGCAGAAATGTTCTTTGAGGAGTTTCGTATTTTTGGTTTACTTGAGCTTTTATTCTTGAAACACAAGTTCATGCTCTTGTTTCGTGTGCATAAGGATAAGAATATGTAGGATTGAACCGAATAAGCAGTAGCACTAGGGGAAGAAGGTAGTTAATGATATAGAACGAATGTGTGTGTGTTAATTCCTAAAGATGTTTTAGAATCCGAGCTACAATAAAAGTTAAATTCAAGGTGAAAATGCTTGTGATAAGTTGTCAAATATATGTATGTAATGTAAAAACAAATCGTGCTGCGATGTATCGTTATGTATTCTATAGCGTATAATATTACCTAGCTGAATTGATGGAGTCATATGTTGTAAATGATCGATCTTCATACCGAAAATTTCTTTTTTTTTTTTCTAGTCGACGTTCATTGTTTAGAAGATATTGTTCTTGCATAGCAGAGGACTTGAAGCCCCACCAACTTTTTGTGGATAGATTTGGTAACTGAAGAGGGGCACCATTGGATAGTATTTCAATTTTTATGAAAAGGGAATGGTCGTTTGGTTCGGAGACGATGGAAGTCAATACCGGACATTCCTGTTCAAATGAGAAAAAACGGTTGGATTGTCGAAAATCTGCTGATAAAGGGGAAAAGCCTTCGGAAAAAGATGCAGGCGGTTCTGCATTCGTAAATCATGGTTAGTTCCCTTGCTTTAGATATGTTTGATGATAGGTATTTTCCCATTTTTTGCATTGACAATTGTTGACGAAAACGGGTAAAGAAAACGAAAGAACACGACAATTTTACGAGGTTCGGCAATGTGCTTACGTCCTCGGTGCCTAGGCGGCGCTAGAAGTTTTAATCAATGATCTTTTAGGTCTAGGTTACATCTCTATTTATAATAGAAAACCCTGGTACATAATTACAAAATCAACCCTGTACCGTACCGCGGGGCTGCGCCCCCACACCCCCAACCCACATAATTCGTAACCCCACAACGAGACTTTTTATGAGCCATACATAACAACAATACCACCAGTTCTTACGCTCTCATTCTCTTGATGTACCCTCCGTTCTGACTCACATGTCGGACATGGGTACATATCCAAGACGGATATGCTCTATTTTTCGAAAACCACTCTGTATTTAGGGGGTCATACGTACCATGTCCAAAAATGTACTGGACATCAGTACAGGAGGATAGGAAATGCAGGATTAGAAGATCTATTGTTTTTTTGTTTCCATTGAGTCTATATTTATGCTTTGGCTTTTGAGCATGAAGTTATGATCTGATTGAATCTATTATGTAGCTGCGATCGATTGGCACAAGAACAGGAAAAGGTGGACAGGGGATAAATCTCAACAATCACGAACGATCAACAAGGATCAAGTTATAAGGTATATCGTTTTCTACTTCCGTTTGTTCGACGACTGTTTCATATTGCTGTACTGTATTATATTTTGGATGTGGGGATATAGACACCATATATGCATCCAGAAGCACACTAGTTGAAATCTATGTAACCCGGGCTAGTTGGTGAGTGTCAGACGTATACGTGTCTGACACAAGTATGCTCTCGATAAATTTGCATTCGATGGAAAATGGTAAGGAAGAATCAAATTCTTGGTGCCGATAAACGTTTGTCTCGCCATCTTGTTCATCTTCAATATGTGCAGTTAAAAGTTTGAGCTAAAGTTGCTATTTCGCTTGGCCCAAGTGGTATAGGTCCGGGTTTGTTGGAAATAAAGGCTCTAAGTGTTTTCTCTTAAAATGGTTGTTCAAACTTCAATGTCGAATGAAACTTTTGCAGACCCTGCTGAAGTTCGAGTAACGAGCGATGCCTCGTATGGTGACACACATTGATGTTTATAGATACGGTTCTCAAACTACAGAAACTTGTTAGCTCAAATAGAATATATATGATCTAGCTTCTGTGGGAACTATCACAATTGAAGCATAGTTATAGTGATTATTAGGCATAACATTTACGAATAAATGAAGAACATCTCTTCTGATCGTTTCGTTCATGTGTTATACGATATCGACTACTCTCTCTATCCAGATTTTTACTAGTTTAAATCTTTCTTACTGTTGCTTGAATATGTCAGATAATAACTGCGAAAACTTGATGTTGCAGCTGGTCCACAACATATGAAGACCTTCTCTTGACTAATGAGCCATTTTCCCAGCCAATTCCTTTGCCTGTAAGTCCCCCAAACTGGACATCAAGAACAAGTAGTTGTTTTCATTGAATAAATCATCAATAAATACATTTGAATGCTAAGATGGTTTAGCGCTTGTTTCTGATCCTTCCATTACGAAAAAAGTGAGAGGGTTCATCCAGTTTAAATGAATGTTCGCACTTTGCAGCCATAGGAATATCATCACAAACAAACGCCATCGATAACTACTAACTGCAGTAAACCCTGATGTGCAGGAAATGGTAGATTTCCTAGTCGATATTTGGCACGACGAAGGGTTGTTTGATTAGACGATGGATGACGGAGTACAGGCATAGGAGAGTTTTAGGTGATTGCTGGTCTGGATTTTGTTTGCCTCCTTAATCTTAAGAAACACACATTTCGACTATGTCACCTGGATTCGGATATTTGTCTTAGACGAGTATGTTATTTTTTTCTACTTTGAGAATCATATCTACGTATCACTATGTTAGACACGAGTATCAAATACAAACACGGATTCTTTTAGAAATAAACAAGACTATAGTTGCTTTTTCGTTGGCATTGTACGAGTGCTTTCAACACTTCGTTAGTGGAGAGCATAAGTTGATTAAAATTATATAACTATTTTAAAAAGAATAAGTTGGTTAACCACCTTAATTGATTGAATTGATACATGTTTAATTGATTGTCATCATATAAGGTAAAGGTATTAATTTAACCTCTGAATTAAAATATTCGATCGTTGACATCTATTCATTATTGTCACTGTTGACTGTCATTAATCGGTAGTGATGACCACAGTCAATCACTTATGATGGTAAATGACAGTTGACGACAAAGAATTTTGGTCAGATTCGAGAGATATAATTGATATTTTTATGTAAAGGATCAATTTTAAAATTAATTTATTTAATTAGCGTGTTACATTGTCAAACTAACTACACATGTAATGTTTTAGTGATAAAAACGTTATAAGTCGATAGTCAAAACATTATTTTCTACATTTAGTGACCAATGGAGAACAATTATGAAATTATAGTGACCGTTTCGGTAGTTTAACAAAAATTAAAAGAAAAAACTAACGAGAGGAAAAAAAACCTTCGATTCTAAGCCATTTTTCCTTCTAAAAACCCAACCTCCCCCCATTGAAGTCCTCACTTTTTCCTTCAAAAAAAGGCGATCAATTTATAAGCAGAAGATGGATAAATTCAAGAACATTTTAAAACCGAAGCCGAATCCACAACAATTACTAAGAGATTGGCAAAGAAAGCTTCGTCAAGAATGCCGTAACATCGAACGACAAATCAGAGGCAAGATTTTTCATTTCCCCCCTTAAATTGTTTTTCAAAATCTCGATGATTGATTTTTTGTTGGTAATTTTGGGTTATCAGTTTATGAATGTTTGAGATTTAAGGTTTAAAATAATGGGTTTTTTTTCTTTGAATGGTTTTGGTCTAATTTTCTGATATTTGTGGATTTTGTTTTAGATATTCAGAGAGAGGAGAAAGCTGTACAGAAAGCAATTAAAGAAGCTGCCAAGAGAAATGACATGGGTTCTGCTAAGGTAAAATTTCTTTTATTTTTCCCTTCAATGGAACTTTAGCTAAATAGATTCACCATGTCATAGTTGTTGAGGAATTCAAAGTTTTTTTATTTGGATTGGTATGATTGGGAAGATAAGTTACATAATTACATTAAAATCATTGAGGCGAATCCGTTGGTTTCTCGTAGCCACTTTAAAGAGTGACAATCAACAATAGGGACTTGAATCCTGCCATTTCCAACGCTGCCTCCATTTTGTAAATTTAAGGGAACCTATTGGTTCATGTAGCCACCCTTAAGCATGACATCTAGTAAATTTAAGTTCATTGTAAAAGGATCTAGGTCCTAATATGGTATAGAGTAATTTTGTGCTTTAGAATGCTCAAGTTGGTTGGAGTCTGATAGAATGTTTGATCGTGCATGAAAAGGATGCCGCTTGATTATCATAAATCGAGCTGATATTAGGTATTCATCTGATAAGCTCTCTAGCAGAACTTAGGATCTGGAGTTGTGACTCTTCTCTAGTTCTTTGCTGGAACCGCTAATTGAGAACAGAAAAAACAAGTTGTTGGTTTCTTTCATCAAGAAATGATCATGTTTTCTTTGGGTGGTCCAATCAACTGACACCCCTGTGTCTTAGCCGATGTGTTATATGTGTGTGAAATCTATTTCCTTTGTGTTCATGCTTTCATGGCTGTAATTTTGCATTTGCCTCGTTATTGATGAGTCATCTCTTATATACGTGCTCATAGTGATCCTTATTCTATATTTTTTAAGGCACTTGCAAAGGAAATTGTAATGTCCAGAAAAACTGTGAACCGTCTATATGAGAATAAAGCCCAGCTCAATTCAATATCAATGCACCTTGGAGAAAGTGTTGGTATGATAACTTATGCATCTGAATTCTATGTATTGTGATTATTCCAGTTAATGCTATTATGTCTCAATACCTTCTTAAAAAACAATTATTTTGAACATAGGTTGAGAATGGGTCGGCCCGGACTTATTTTCGTAAACATATCAATATTTGTCGTATTAGACTTATAATCTGACACACCTAAGCACATGTTTCGTTTTCTCTTGGAAGAACTGCTTTTCTTTCTAAATGGTCTTTATTACTGGTATGTATTTGAAGCAATTGCTCGAACTGTTGGCCATTTGTCCAAGAGTGCTGAAGTCATGAAACTTGTAAACAACGCCATGAAAGCACCACAATTGGCAGCCACGATGCAAGAATTTAGCAAAGAAATGACCAAGGTAAATTTCAAGTTCATAAATTTCAAGTTCGTAATTTTGTTGCATTTTATGTGCCGGTTTTTGTTTCAGAATATTTTTCAATCTTCTCAGCAATATTTCTGTTTCAGTAGTTCCTAGTGCCTGTTTTCTCAGCATCAACAATATTCTGGTTTTTACCATCGTTATTCAGAGTTCCTATGTTTCCTCATGATTGATTTTTATTTGTGTTTTTTTGGTCCCAAAGTTGAAGTTGTCCCGGAAATTCATTTTTGGATGCGTCCAATTGGAACCTGAAGTTAAACATACCCGTCTTGTATATATTCCAATCTAATACATTCGAGTTTCAATAATATAGATCAAAAGAATTAATCGGTCTACTATTTTTTAACATGCTAAAACTGATGAACATCCCCTTTTATAAGTACTATGAACTTGAAAAATGCCATGTGAGAAGCATCTGCATGCTCTTCATATTTTTGGAGTTCCTTGTATTTGTAGTTATAAACTTGGTTTGAAGGCAGGGGTTATTGAAGAAATAGTAAACGATTCCCTCGACTCGGCATTGGATTCTGAAGATATCGAAGAAGAGACTGAAGAAGAAGTTGACAAGGTTCTTTCGGAAATAGCCGGTGAAACTGCAGCACAGCTTCCTGAAGCTGTTCGGAAGGAAAGAGCGACAATATCTGCCCAAAAAGAAAGCACTTCTCACAAGGTATGTAAAACTTTAAACCCCCTTTTATGTTGCTTCAAAAAGCTGAAGGATCTAAATTTTGAGCACATGTTACAGGAAGAAGCTATAGCAGAGGGTGCCGACGATGAGGAAGAGTTGGAAGAGATCAGGGCACGGCTTGCTCGAGTTCGGTCGTAAAAACTCGGCCTTCTTTCCTGGTGTTCTTTAGCTGCCAATCAACTGAAACTGTGATTTGTAATGTATCATTACATTGAAGGAGCTTTGAGCTCATGTGTTGTGTCTCGAGTCTTTGAACCCACCATTCAACGGATTTACACTTTGGAGCTGTACACCAATTGCTTCACCGAATTTCTATATAATTTTCTTATAGTATCATGTAATTATTTCAATATTAGAACGATAAGTATTTTAAAATATTTTCGTTTTAGTTTAAAAGTTGTAATAAAATTTATTGCAATACATAAATACAACCACCTTTTCATTTTTATTAGGGTAAAATACAGTTTAAATTATAATTGATGTTTTAAATTACTAAAATTTTATAAGTTATAAAATAGTTTTTAAATTTATCAAAGTGTTACAAAATAGTCATTGAGTGTTACAAAATAGTGATAAATTTCGGTAAGTTTAAGGTATATTTTATAACAGTTCAATAAAGTTCAATAAATTTTAATGTTTATTTTTTTTATAAAATTTAATGATTATTTTATTATAATTTAATGAATTTAATAGTTATTTTATATATTTTTTTAAATTTTATAGTATATTTAAACGTAGTTTAATAGATGTTTATGTACTTTACTCTTTTTAATATTGCCGGTTAACATGTTAATTTGTTTTATTTTACAATTTAATCTGATTTTTAACAATAATAAAATGGAAATCTAAAAGGGTTGGAATTAGGGATGGATACGAGTTTAGTTTGGGTTGATCCGATCTAAAATTTATACATCTTTCACCCGATCCGGTTTGACTCGAAAAATATACATTCTCTTTTCGACTCAAACTCAACCCCAATTTTTTAGATAAAATTTGACCCGACCTAAAATAATATATCATTAAAAAATATTTTTTATTCAAGAAAAATAGAGATTTAATTTTAAAAAATAATATGGGATATTATTGTAATTATCTTTAAATATATAAGTAAAATTATATTTTTCGGATCGAGTAAGGTTGAATATTTTTCACTCTAAATTCGAATATAATCCGACCCGAACATAACCTCTAAAAAACCTAACACGATCCAACCCAAACATAATTTTTTATAGAAAAATCCGACCGATCAGATCAGGTAGGATCGAAACCCGTTGGACTTGAATCTCATACCCATCCCTAGTTAGAATCTACTTGCACTTTAGGGTAAAACTCCTAATTTTATAATTTTTTAGAATATTTGGATGAGTTGAAATAAATAATTAAAATTATTTTATTATTTTTAATAAATATTTTTTTATTTTTTTATCTTAATAGTGTATTTTCAGTTGATCATAAAAAATATATTATACGAGGTAAATGAATCATGTTTAATATAAAAATATTTATAATAAAATGATAAAATTGAAAATATTGATATGAGATCCGAAAACGACTCACTCTCTACAATTGAGCCGTAAAGTGCAGACAAGGATGGATTTTGATGAATAAAGCGACAAAAAACCAAAATTGGGTTTTGTCTATGGAATGCCATATCCCACTCTTCCCAGTAAATAAATGAAAAAAATCAAATCAATAATGCCTCTTTACGCTCCAACTTTCAAGTTTTGAATCTTTCTTGAACTTTGAACATTGATTTTTCTTTCTTTGGAACTCTCCTTCAAGCCGGTTCTTTGGTAAGTGATTTCCCCCTCTCTCTTTTGTTTTAATTGAACAAAATCGAAGTCGATAATACATTTTGATTTCTGGGTTTTTGTTATTTTTCGTTGTTTCGATGTGGCTATTGATTTCAATGCATGATCTCTGTTGTTTAGTCTACTGAGTAAGAGTTGTTTATTTATCTTTTCTTGTTTAGGATTATGAATGAATTCGAAGAATTTATGCTCAGGGACAGGGACGGATCTGATTTTAAGTGAGGGACGACCAACTTATAAAATTTTAACTATCCCTGTTTATGCTTTGATTCTATTGCACGAAGAAACAAATTGTAAACTATGAAATTAAACCCTACATTTCAAAATGTTGTTTTTGAGATTGTTGACAAACCAGTGATGAACTGTGGTTCACCTTCAACAAGATGAATGGATTCTCCACCGTGGACGGCTTCGTGGAGATGACCAAATCCCTGGCAGAGATGATCAAGTACATCGCGAATGAACCGACGCTCGGTCTTTTGTATGTTCAAAAGCACACGCACGATGCGGTTCCTAACGTTGTTGATCTCAGTAATCGGGTCACGGAGAAGTCCCGGGAAGCGAGTTTGCATTCGGAGGACTTGGAAGATTCGATCACCATGGTGAGGTCAATGAAGGAATGTGGCATCCCCATTGTCGACGAGATGATCAAGGACTTTGAGAATTCGCTAATGTTAATATCATCGGATGAGAAACTGAAGCAAGGATTGGTCGATAGCCTTGATTCGGGATTTACCATAACAAGAACTAGATCTTGGGGACCGATATCATGGAGTTATGGATCCATAGATGTCCGGCAGCAGGATGGAAGTCACTATTTTTCGACCATATTCAAGTCGGCGAGAGAGAAGGCGAGCAGTTTTAAGTGGTTCCAAGTCGAGTCCAAGGAACCAAGTGAAACAGAACCGCAGAAGCCGGTTCGGTGTCCTGCTCCACCATTGTCGCCTGCATCTGCTAGCATTGGTTCAATACCCGATGAGGTAACAACTGAGCCCCAAAACCTGGTTCAATGTCAACCGGCAGATAAACTCCATGAAGAAGTGAAGGATGGAACTGAAGACAACGTCAAACTGTCCGGTGATATTTGATTGTTTGTGTCGGAAAAATACGATGAATTCAAGGCGGATAAAGAATCGAAATTGGAACGATGGTTGGAAGGAAGTGAAGGCAAAATGGATACAAGCAAGGGAGAAAGCGAGACAGATGAGGTTTAGTTGTGTAGATGTCTGCAGATGATTATATATATATATATATATATTATTTGATTGTTTTGTTCTTTGATATTAAACCAAATTGCAGTTTTTGAGTTTCCTCTTGAACATGTGGGATAAAAAAGAAAAATAGATGACAAATTTGCTTCTTTTTTTGTTTATGGAGAGCAAGAAAGAATGAGTTTAAGTTTGATAAACGAAATTTTAAAAAAATTATTAAAGATAATCATGAATCCTTTAATTGATCATCTTATAAATCAATGAAATTTTAGTAATATGAAAGAAAATCAGATTTGAAAAAAAAGCAATATGAGAAATTGATTGCATTCATACATATATAATTACTAGTTTCTGAAAGGAATATCATCTAATGAAAAGAAAATAACAGAAAAGTGATAAAGATCTTGGACTAATTATTTTGGTTGTTTTGCTTGTGAGCTAAAGGTTGTGTTTTCTGTCTTAAATTATATGCTATTTATTACTAATAAATTTTGACAATAAAATTTTGGCTAGTGTCTCCAAGGTTTTGGGCTGAACCCAAGTGTGTATTGTTAGTTAAAAATGTAAAACATTAATGACAGCTGTGGGATTTGAATCCACGCCTGTAACTGGCGCCTTAGATCACTCGGCCAAGCTGTCATGAGATGGCGTAGTCATCTAAATAACTAGTACTTTGTTTTGAAACTATTCATGAAGCCTTTCACCAAGCTCAAAGAAATGACAATGGAAAAGAAAGAAAAGGGATTGTTATCAATGTTTCTTAGCAAACCAAGTGTGTGATTTCATTCGAATCCATGTAACATACAAGTACGGTCATAATGTTAATAAGATGCTTGGATACCTGTTCACATTGAAACATCAAACAAGGAGAGATCATCTTATTCCCCAACACTCCTCAGAGCATGCAGGAATGCAAATATATAATCCTGCTTGCTGGGATTTGAGCAGAAGTTAGATAAAACATATACCCTCTATTCCAAATTCATTATTCCTAGAGGGAAATACTTCATCCTATCTCCAACTTAACTCCTTCCATCATCTTATAATGAGAAGTAAATCTACTCCTTTACTGTCAATCTATAGTTCTCAACACTTACAGTGAAGGAAACACATGAACTGTTGCCTCCACTTCTAACCATTCCTTTACTTCTCTAGGATGTGGCGCACAAGTTATGAATGGTCCTATGCAAGGGTAAAATACATCAAAGTGGAAATGATAGATATATTATTATTATTCTATATAAATAAATCAAAGCGACTTCTCATCATACAAGAACAACACAAAAGAAATACAAAAGTACAATGTAAGGAAATAAATGGCTAAAATCCTCCTACATAATCCCAAGGCGATACAAGATTAGTATCTAAAGGAACACAGACCACGCCACAGCAAAACACACATAGTCCAAACTCTCTGTATGAGTGAACATTTTCAAGGGGTCGTTTTTGAAGGAGGTGGCGAGAAGAATGGGATGGTAGTTGGTATTGTAGGGAAGGATGGCATGGTAGGCAATGTTGGCATGCTAGGAAGAGGAGGGACGGATGGCATGGTAGGCAATGTTGGCATGCTAGGAAGTGGAGGCAGAGCTCCAGGCTTGGGTAACGATGGCTGAGTTGTCGGCAATGTCGGTTGTGGGAGATTGGGGATAGATGGCAGTGGTGGCAACGTTACTCCGGGAAAAGCTGGTGGCATCTGGAGGAGATGACGAGCTGCTAGCCCAACATTGATGTTCAACAATGACAGAGCCATGAAAATGGCTAAAACAAAACAATTGGAAGAGGCCATTGCTAGAGATTTGGAACCCCGCAGAGTGTTATCTTAGAAAAAGGTTGTTCTGTCTAATGGTTTGAGGCTTTGAGTTGTTTGGGTATATATATACATAGGGTGGAAGCAGGGAAAGTGGCCTCTGAGGTTGTTGATTACTGATGGAATATGGTTGGAAAAGAAAGCACAGAGTGGTTCCAAATGTTTTGGTAGTTCATCTCCTCATTAACTAAAATTGTCAAATGTACTTGTGGTTGGCCAGAAGCTACCAGAAGTTAGCATACAAACAATATCTATTAGCAGGCCATAATTTTAACACAATTGCTCCACATCTGAATTTAACAAAGGTATAACCCTAAGGCCTAATGACATTGCGTCCCATATCCTACATCTCCAACTGTTTTATATCTAACAAAAACCTAAACCACGTTGTTTTCTGCACTTCATGTGCAACGTGTCCAGCATTCTTGTATAAACTATACATACAATAAGCTTACCCTTAACTTCCATTCCTTATATAAGGAAGCTGAAAATGAAAATCACAGTGAAGAAATATGATGGTCATTGGATTTTATATTCATGCTCACATTGAAAGATCAAAGAACCCAAAAAAAAGTCTTCTTATTCTCCACCGACCCTCACAGTAGAACCACAAAGATAAAAAAAAACTAAAAACCCATGTGGCTGCCATTGCATAGAAATCTGATCACTAAACTACAGCCACATGAGATGCTACCCAGCTAAACTAAAAACAATTAGACTCATCCATGAGAAAGAAACCATTTGATAGCTGTGGGATTTGAACTCCGCCCTTTCGCACCAGACCCTAAATCAGGCGCCATAGATAACTCGGCCAAACAAACATGAGCTGATAACAGCATCGAAAGAGTGGATGATATTCCCTATTTTATATCTGACATCTTCATAAATAAAGCCAAGATTAATGGACCAGCTAGACACGTATAGAACAAATGATTTCTCTATGTAACTAGTCATTAAGAATCTATTCCAAGTGTATTATGTCAACAAACAACAAATTCTACACAACTCTTCCACCTAAATACAAACACAAACCTAATTCACCTTAATCAATTAAATTATGCACAACCCAAATATAGATTCAATATTAGGTCAGAATTTATAATTATGACTCCTCATCAAATTATAAATATAACTTATAGTATCTACACTTTGATTCCATTACACTTTAATACATATAACACATATAACACAATTGGTCACTTAATTTTGTATTATACTTTATAATAACATTATACATTATACATATCCACAAATATGGATTTTACTCCAACATAACAAGCCTGAAATGTTTTGGGTCCATCCTTTCTGCACTGTCGAGAACCTACGAATATTTGTTAAATATAGGGAAACTCTCTTTTGTTTATACAAATATGGGATGAAAAACATATTTGATAGAAACATATTCGGTAAAAAACTTTTTAGGTCCTCTCATTTTTAAAAGAGAAAATAATCTCAGTGACAAAAAATGCCTTATAATATATGAATTTAACCAACTTTTTTTGGATTTGCAAATTGACCGACAAATTCGCAACGCGAACTCCAATTTCTCAACCCAGTTTCCAATTTCGCAACGTGAATCTGTAAATCGCAATGCGAATTTGTAAATCGCAACGCGAATTTATAAATCGCAACACAGAAGTCAAATTCGCAACGCGATAGTAAAATTCGCAACGCGGAATTTCAAATTCGCAACTGAATTTCAAATTCGCAACAGGTTTTAGTTTCACAACACAAATGTTTTGGGTATATAACAACGTAGCAGCATCAACTCATAACCTAAATCCCTAAATCACAACTCATTCCATCTCCATCTATCACTCTCTTCGGCGACATCCGTTCCTATATCCAACGACATCCTTCCCCATCTCTAATTTTTTTTTACATAATTTTATTTCTATATAATTTTTCAATGATTTCTCTCCCAAATTATCAACTATCAACGTAATAAAGGTATGTTTTTCTCTAAGTTAGTGATGATATCTAGTTTATAGCTCGTTTGTTTAGTAAATTAATTTTCAATTTGTAGAATGAAATCATCTAATGTTGATCATATTTGGATAGATTTGTGTTTAAGAGGGTCATGGGAGAATGTTCATAGTGTTTTACAATATGTGCCTTTACCCATGAATCTTAAACTAAAACTATCATTAAAAAAGTTAACTTATGAAACTCTAATGTTACGTGTTGCAAAGAAATTGAATTTAGAGCCTCTAAGTGGATTTAGGCTATCTTATCAGAGAAAAGATAAAGTTTATTTGTTAACCGAAAATGAAGATGTTGAACGATTCATTGCTTACATTAGTGTTTCGCAAGAAGATGATGTTACATTGTATGTTGTTGAACCTAGAAGTAGTGAAGTTGGGTCACTAGCGGGTAGTAATCAATTAAGTTCTTCAACCCAAAATTTAATGGTTCCACCACAATTTCATCACCAAGCAAATTTTGTTTCACCACATTTCCAATACCAAACACAATATCAAACACAATCTCAAAACCTACAACCTTTTCCTAATCCAAATCCCAATCAACTTTCAGCACCAAATTCATGTTTTCGTATTGACCAGTTAGACGATTATGAGCCAACAGAAAAAATTGTGAGTACTAGTCAGTATTCGAAATTTGATCTTGGTCAATACCCGGACTTTGATCTTGGGGAATACTCAGATTTTGATGATGTGATGGAAGAAGAAACAGACCCTGCATGTAATGATTTTAATATTGGTCAATACCCGAATTTTGATGATGAAGCAGCCGCTGCCGAAGAAGATGTTGTTGATGATAATGAGGAGGAAGTTACGACTGTGAATGAACATGTTGAACATCCATTCTGTAATTCATATAACCCTGAAGAAGAAAAAGAAAAAGAAGAAGTCCCCGAAGAAAGGAAAAAGAAGAAAATGCCATGGGAGTATAACTGGAATATGCCAGAATTACTTCAGATACCGGAAGAAGAGTTGGTAAAGATAGCAGTTGATTGTTACACAAAAGTTATTCGTATCAAGAAAGATGATTGTTTTGATACAAAGGAAGACTTGAAGATAGCTTTGTATACGAAATGTGTGGAAGATGGCTATCAACTAAAAGTTAACAAATCAAGCAAAGATCATTTCGAAACAAGGTGTATGATTGACAAAAACTGTACGTGGCGTATGATTGCAAAGAGGATAAAAGATTGCGAAATGTTTCAAGTTAGGACTTTTATTGATAAACATACATGTTCAAGAACCCAAGTTTTTCCTCACCATAGACAGGCAAACAAAAAGGTGTTGGGTGGTTTTCTGGCTGAGTTAATGTTTTTGAATGGAAGGGTATATCGGGGACATGAAATTATGACTGACATGAATGTTCGGTTCAAGATTAGTATCTCATATTCTCAAGCTTGGAGAGCCAAATGTTATGCCTTGGAATTGTTAAGGGGGTCGCCAGAAGCATTGTTTGCCCAACTACCGGCTTATTGTCATAATTTAAAGCTGAAAAATCCTGGGTCGGTAACTCATATCAAAACAGATAGAGATGGACGCTTTGAGTTGTTGTTTATCGCCATTGGTGCTGCGGTTAGTAAATAATTATAATTTTGTTAACTCATTTTTGTTAGTTGCATGCATTTCACATTTAAATGATTATATTTCTTGTGTATATGATTTTGTAGATTCGTTCGTTTATTACTTGCATGCGCCCAGTTATTATAGTTGACGGAGCACATTTGAAAGGTCGATACCTTAGAGTAAACTTATTAGCAGTAGCCATGGATGCTAACAATGGGATACTGCCAATAGCTTACGGGGTTGGCAAATCTGAAACCTCTGATTCATGGACATGGTTTATGGGGCATCTTAGGGATTGCATAGGTCCTATTAGAAATCTGACAATCATATTTGATAGGGCAAACTCAATTGACAATGCTGTTAGAAGGTGTTTCCCAGATGCTTTTCATGGACTTTGTGGTGTTCATTTGTACATAAATCTAAAATCAAGGTCTGCTGGTATAAAAAATCACAAATGGACATACTGGAAGGCTGTAAAAGCTTATCGGGAAGTGGATTTTAATAAGCATATAAATTGTTTAAGACGTGTTTTGCCTCAATGTGCTCAAACACTAGAAGATGTCAGGTTTGAAAGATGGTCAAGAGTACATCAACTTGGAGCAAGATATGGTTTCATGATGTCTAATAGTGCAGAATCAATCAACGCTCTAAGTCGTCATTCCCGGAAATTACCCATTACTATGTTAATGGAGTTTTTTCGAGCCTCTATTCAACAGTGGTACTACAATAAAAGAAACCATGCATGTATTATTTCTTTAAATTCGTAACTTATCATATATTTTACTAAGTATTATTTATTTAAATTTACAGGAACATTGGAACGTCGTGTTACACCATGGACTGAAAAAAAGATAACGAAACGTGTTGTGAAGTCAACGTCATGGAGAGTTGAACCATGTTCAAACACTTTGCTTGAAGTATTGAATAATAACTTAAATGGGCTTGTCGATCTAAATGCAAAGACGTGTAGTTGTAAGAAATGGCAAACATCTGGTTATCCGTGTGGTCATGTTATAAAAGTTGCTCTTCATCTAAACCAAGATGATTCAAGCGCATACGCTATGGATTGCTACACTACAGAAGTATATCGACAAACTTATACCGATATTGTCTACCCATGTTCACATCCTTTTGAGTGGGACATACCAGATGACTTACAAACAGTTTTGCCACCAGTCATGGATAGCAGGCTACTTGGCCGACCAAAAAATCACGATCGTATACCGTCTAAGGGTGAAGAGAAGAGGTTATCGACATGTAGTCGGTGCAAGGAAAGTGGTCATACAAGGTTGACATGTGGATCACCAGTTCCATCACAATCATCTTTTCCTCTACCAAAAAATGGATCCTCATCAAAATCCAAAGCTCATGTGGTGCCAAGCAAAAGGAAATCAAAAGCGCAATCAAAATCAAAATCCCAATCACAACCGGCTT